TTTATTAAAAAAGAATGAGGAATAATTATTATGTTGTGTATTTGATAAAATTAAGAGCAAATCCTTGTTGACATTTTTATTTTTGATGGAAAAAGCGAAAATAAATCTGGGCGGTCGTCTGGAGAGGAAATAATTAATGTATAATTTCATATCATTTAGGGCTGTAGATGAAAGTAATGATGGATAACCAAAGCAGTGTACAAAACACATTACGTCCTGATAAAGATGAGGCATATGCCTCTGCCTTGGGATACTGGTAAAAGAAAAACGCAAAATGATATTTCTGTCAATGTCAGCATTGGTAGCCCCCTCTAAAATAGAATCATGAACGACAATGTTAACTCAACCATAAAAAGGTAGCAAGAATTGTTATAAAGGCCACGACAGAACTACTGAATATTTTTCCAATAATAAATTGATGAAAATGGCGGTACTGCACATTCAAGTTTGAACATTCCTCTAAATATTCATGAAAGTTTCTCAGAGAATCGGATAAAGTAATATTTATAATAACTTCTAGTGAAGTGAGTGATAGTATGGAATTGAATGCTTATATTTGTTAAAAAATAGGAAGAGGTGGCATAGGGAGTGATAGTAGTGATAAAAATATCATTTGGAGGCAACTGGATGAAAATAAAATAAACATATAAATATAAAACATAATATAAAAACAAAATAAACCTTCAGAGGAGTTAATTTCAAGCGTAGTTCTTTATTATTTTGGCTACCAGTAACTCTAGAACGGGCAAGGCGTTTGTAATTCGTCATTATTTTCTTTGCTTATTTTTAATAGATTCATCATGTTTTGTAGTAATGTGAGGGATTAAGGTTGGGTTAGCCTAGACAAATAAAGAAATCAGGCAAAAATACAAATAAACTATTGTTGAAATTAAACATACATGAAAATAATGTAAACCAGTAGATGGGTCAAAATTAACCAAGCCCAGAGATATTAAATTTATAATTAATGAAGAGGAAATCTCTGATTTACCAATTAGTCTATGGGTAAAATATATTTATTTATAAAAATATTAACATATGACTAACATTTAACATCAAATCCCAATCTAGGTTCAAACCCACAATATTTGAAAAAAATTTCCAAGCATCCAAGATCTTAATAATTTAAAAAGATTTTCTCAAGCCCATTTCAATCCCTAATAATTTTGAAAATCAAGCCAATATTAATTCTGATAAATATTTTTTAAGCCCAGTCCAACCCATAATAATTTTGAAAAAATTTTCCCAAGCCTAGAGATATTAAATTTATAATTAATGAATGAGGAAAAAGCCTGGGCAAACCACTTATTAGAGAATCATGACAAAATAAGGTCTGCTCTAATATTATTATAGGAAATAAAAAATATTACCTCGTATTATTGGAGATAACTCCAAAAAATAAGTTATGGAGAAAAAATCTCTGACGTACAAGTTAAATTGAATTTCTATATAAAATATTAATAATTTGTAATATTTTGTAAATAGATATATTTAATGTATATTATCATAAGACTAACATTTAACATTAAAAATCCCAATCAATATTAATAATTTGTAAATAATGTTTCACTTTTTCCAAGCATCAAAGATCTTAATAATTTAAAAAGATTTTCTCAAGTCCACCTCACAAGTAAATTGAATTGCTATATAAAATATTAATAATTTGTAATATTTAGTAAATAATGTATTACTTTGACAATTGGTTTTAATATGGCCTCCTACAGTTGTATAAAAAATTAAGTTATGGGATCATCTGTTTGTATAAAATAAATCAATAAAATAAACAAATAAAAAAAATTACTTACCGATGATATGACGTAGCGATGACATGACGTCACGATGAAGTAGTGAGGACATCGGAAAATTATAATATAGATTTTCGCACCGTATATTATATTAAAATAAAAGTAGTTTGTAGTAATATCAAAAATATACATGTATTAAAAATTTAACTCAAAACTGTTTTTCGAAAAAGAAAAAAAATAACTTTCCTAAAAACACATAAAAAAAGAGAAGAAAAGATATCAAATTTATTATACTTCTATTGCAGGATTAATAATAAAATGTTTAATTTTTAAAATTATTTATAATTAAATAGATGGCGTTAAATACTTGAATGTAAATTGTTACTATATTTATTATCAAAACCATTTATTAGTAAAATTTATTATTATATTAACTGTAATATATTATATAACTGTCAAATAAATACGTCTATAAATTTGGCATTTTATCTAATATTTTATAAACAACTGTATATAGTAGACGATTATAAACTATATGTCTAATTACTTTTTATAAAGAAATCTCATACTAATTTCGACCTTGAAAATATTTTTAGGAATAGGTATGATAATAAAATTTAAAAATAAATATGCAGTTGATTAGTCATTTTGAACTCGGCTAATTACAATATTAAATTTGTTAATTTTCAAGTAATATATGATTATATTTATTTAATAAGGGTTATATAATAATTTATAATAAAAATCAGTTAAAATTCAACTGAAGCTAAATTAATATTTAGTGAGTTATTGATATTATATTTTTAATACAGAATTTTATTGCAAGCTGACATAGTGAAAATATAATGTATTAATCTAATCTAATTATTAAAATAGTAAATAAAAATTTAAATAGTCCTTTTAATTTCTTAATAATAAAATTAAATTTATATATTACTTAATTGAATTATAAAAGAAATCATTCAGGGGGCAATCAAAAAAATTTATTTTTAGTTCAAGGAGATATTAAGGAGCCATAAAAAAAAATTTTTGCTTCAGGGGGCTATTAAAATTTTTTAGGGGGCTCGAGCCCCTTCACCACCCCTCTTAGTGACGCCATTGTGTTTACCCCATAATGTGGGCCCATAACCTTTGCTTAAGATTTGACACACCACGTGTCCTGTGACAGATCTCAATCGTAATATTTTGATAAAACTTCTACATATTCAAAAATATTTTGAATATCATCAAGTTCTATCTAGTATGTATTTTTTTTTTAAATTAAAATTTTCCATTGATAATAGATTGGAAAATTTAACACATTTTTATTTAAAAGATTACAGATGCCAATAATTAATTTTCTCACACTATTAAGCATCAATTTATTTTATGAATAGGTAGGTTTTTTGCACTGAGTCCCATATCTATTCTGGACAATAGCTAATTTGTAGTCTAATTTTTTATATATTAATTTGACCCTATGATAATTTAACAAAAGTTTTAATTAAAAACTTTGTTGATATTTCCAAACTAGAACATTTATTCAAGTTATCTTTTAAATAGTCATAAAATACTAAGTATATAGTATATAAATTAAAATTTATAATTTTTTAGGCACTATTTTAAATAGGCCGTTTATAAAATAATTTGCTCAATAACTATTTTTCCTTAAATATAATTAATTCTCTCCTTAAATTACTTAATATCTGGAGAAGAAATACTTATCCCTTTGATTCATTTAATTAGGCATCATTGGTAACTATATTTATTTTAAATGCTTATGATATGATATTAATTTATTGGACTATCCATCATTTAGTCCATATTTAAATTCTATCTCAAATATATTAATAAAATAATTAGGTGACAATTGGTTTTCAGGAGAATGAGCTGTTAATTTTGCTTGATATTTTATTTAATGAATATTTTGATATAAAATTCAAGTGTTTATGATTATTTTTTAAATGAATATTTTATTTAGCATAAAATATTTGGGTAGTTGGATGTAAATGGTGCAGGGTAAGGATATTATATCTATTTTAATAAATATTAATTATATTTATATTAATTTAATATTAGATTCCACATGGAAATATTTTTAGAATTGTATCATCATGCATATACACTGTATGACTTATTAATATACATCCCGCCATACCTAAAAATTTTGGATGCAAAAAAATATATAATATGCAGTAACTATCCCATTATTCCTAAATCATACATCAATGAATATCAAACCAATCATATACTGTCAGTTAATTTTTTAAAATTGAAAATGGATATTCAATATTTATTGGATCATTTTGAATATCAAATGTTAGAAACATTTTTTTGTTACACAGCATCTCATTTGTGGATTACAATTTTTAAAGATAATAATAAATTAAACCAAAGTGATTTATATGGAATGTTAAGTTTAATTAAAACAAATTGTGATATATTTTATTTTGTATCTTCTATTGAAAAACTTAATATTCACTTTAAAAATGGTTATTTTGTTAAAATTTACGAAATGGAAACTTTGAATATATATTTAAAACAATTTAATATAGGAAAACTTAAAAATTTGAGAAACATATTTTGCGGTGATAAAGAAATACTTGAAGTTCGAAATAAATATTTTATTCACGTGAATCATATTATTTTCAATACAAACACTAATTTCGGAAGACATGTTTTCCCAAAAACACATATTTTATCAAAATGCAATAACTGCTCAAATATGCAAAATTTGATTAAAGATTTTATGGAATCATTATTTACATTGCCTTTCATTGACTCTAATCAGAAGAGATATCCTAGAGAATTATCGCCACTTAATAAGGAATATATTGAAGTTTTGATAGAAAATCCTTTCTACTATGGTGTTATAAAAAAATTAATCATCAATCATAATGTTTGCAATTATCGTAAATTAGTTAATAAACACTGTCCTGCAATTTATGGATGTCAACAAAATGCATATATTAAATCAACATATAAATTTAAAAATTATTTGAATTATATTATACTTGAAAAATTTGGTCCCACCAAATATACCAGGAAGCACAAAGTATTCAATTTTTTGCAGAATGTTTTAAATAAATTTATACCAATTTCAATATGGAACTTTATTAATAAAAATAATTTTATGAAATGTATTAAATTTTTTTTAAAATTAACCAAAAATTCTTCTATTTCCTTTGATATTTTTTGGGAATGTTTGCTATTTAATCAGCAAAAACATATTGAATATATTTTTTGGTATCATTTTTGGTATTGGGTTATCAGTTATTACTTAATAACAATAATAAAAAAATATTTTTTTGTTACTGACATCACTCACAACAAAAAATTAATTTATTATCGTTTTTCTGTATGGGAATTTTTTCATAATCAACAATTAAAGATATTATTGGCTAAAAATATATTTATCAAGCAAAGCATTACAAATCTAAATTCTTTAAATAAATTTCGTTTTTCTCCTAAATTCAATGGAACATTACGAACTATTATCAATACCAAGCAAAACTTTAGAAAGAATTATAGATGGTTATTTCCATTTATGACTTATATATGTAATCTTGATAATTATAAAGGTTATGGCATCAACTCTAGGATGATACACACAAAATGGTTCGATTTTTTGAATCATTGCTCGAAAGAATATACAAGTGAGTATAAAAAAATGAAATTATATTTTATCATTGCTGACTTAAACAAATGTTATGATAATATAGATACTCAAAAACTTTATTCTATATTAACAGAGTTGATAATTCAGTTGTCCCCTCCATTTTATTATTGCTCTTATTATGAAATAAAAAAACAGAATTCAAAAAAATTCAGTAATGACGGGTATGTCATACATAACACCAGAGAGGCCAAGATTAATAAAAATCTTAAATTTTTATTTTCTCGAACTAAACAAGATGCATTAGAAGATATATCCGATTCAAATTCAAAATTTTTTACGAACAACTGTAGTAATGAAATAAAATATAATTTGATTTATATTAGAAAGCAATCGGAAATTAAGACTTTACAATTAAACACGATTTTACAGGCTGTATCATTACACGTATTTCATAAATATATTAAAGAAAATTTTAGTTCCCCGAGAAAGATTTACAGAATATATAAACTATCAAAAGGTATTCCTCAGGGGTCTTCGTTATCTTCATTATTTTGCGATATGTATTTAGGTCACATGGAAAAATTGTTATTTAAATCGATTTTTAATTCAAAACAATGTTTTATAGTGCGCAATGTCGATGATTATCTTTTTATAACTCCCCTTTATATTGAGGCTAATCGATTTTTAGAACTACTCCATAGTGGAGTTGCCGAATGTAGCCTTAAAATAAATACAAATAAATTAAATCACAACCTATATCTGAATGCAGATCAAATTAGTTGGTGTGGATACGACTTTAATACTAAATATCCATTTCGCGTTAATTTAAATCTTATTAAGTACTACAATATGAAAGTTGAAGATACTATTATATTTAATTCAGAGTATGGGCAAACACTTTTTTCTATAATCCATCGGAAGATTTATTATTTTTTTAAATCTATGTTGAATAATATAATTCTATATGAGATTTTACCATATAATATGCGGGATCTTGATCAAGATTTTTTGCAACTATCTTATTTAAATATATTCTATTTATACTTATTAGTCGCCTTAAAATTTCACACTTTATTTACATCTTTTTTTCAAATTTATAATAAATTTATCATTAAAACAAATGATTTGGTATTTAATAATATTATTCAACTGATATATAATTGTATTGATATGCTCTTAACTCATTTATTAAAAATAAAAATAAATTATAGGATTTTTTGGAACAATGGCTTTAATGATATAACCAATTTAAACAATATTTACTCTTTGACAATCATTACTTTTTTGGCATTTTATATAAAGTTTAAATCTCATTCTAACATTTATGGTAATTTATTATCTTTTTTTGAATCCAATATATTTTGTTATCTAAATTACCTTTGCCCCAGTGATGTAAATTATATCAAAAATGCCTTCCAAATTGGAAAAAAATAAAACTTATTTTTTAAAAATATATAATCCTTATTATGTGAAATTTAAATAATAAGATTTTAATCAGAAGTAATTTTATATTAATTATTACTAGGAAAATGATTTACAATATTTTCATAGATATTAAATTTATTTTTTATAATACACAATAAATAATCATAATATCGTATTATTTGTAAAAGTTTTAATAACAAGAATTCTTTCTACTCATAAATTGTCCTCTTACTTATTTATTGAGAGTTGTAGACATAAATTTCAGTTTCCTAAAATTTTAAGTATTGACTCTATTTACTATCACCAAATATTCTGTCACTGACAAGTTATTTGTATGCATTTTATAATTTATCAAAAGATTTTTTAAAAATTAAAATTGTAAAAGATTACACTATAATGTTTTAAAGTACAAGGTTAGCCAAATTGAAGTAGTCATAGTCTATAATCATCTGTTATATTTATTTGTTTATTTTTGTAAATATACACGTTCCAATTGAAAGGGTACATTTTTTGTTTAAGCAATATTTCAGTTCTAAATATAATTTAATCAAATTTTATAGATTGATAAAAAGATAAAATTTTTTTTCCGGTCATGGGATACTTTATTTGAATATTTACTGATATGATATGATAAGGTGAAAAATTGTAGAAATATAATTTACGGGAAAGGATAGGGGATAAAAAAAATGAAGCTTGGAAAATGGAAGGTTAATTATCAATTTTTTCTGCAAATTTCACTATCAACAGGATCCACTATGCACATTCAAAGTTGGACAAACAAAATTCGAAGTTTTCAACATGTAAAATTAATTTTTTATTAAACTTTACATTTGAACAAGCGATATTTAAAAAAATGGTTTGAGTTTAACTAATATGAAAAACATTACGAAGCCAAAAGTTTTTTGATGGAATTTTTTAACAGAAACTGGTCTGTCACAGCCTTAAATCGATTGATTGAAAAAGTTGACCTTACTTGATCAACAGAAAGGTGGTATGGTGGTGGTAGACCATGCACAGCTAGTACTATGGAAAATGATTCTGTTGAAACTGTTATTGAACCAGACCGACCTGGTGCGCCGGATGAAAATTTTGATTTAAAATATTTTACCCTGGCAACTAGAAATATTACACAAAAGCATACTGGGGAAACCATATTATCGGAGATTGATAGTATTGAAGAGTTCCTTTTAAAAGTCAAAATAATACAAATGGTAACAGATTCAGGGGCCAATGTCAAGAAGCGTCAGATTGGGGGATTATGAGCAACATTTATTCTTATGGTATGGACTTCATAATTTCGTTACTGTTGATGGCATAATTGCCAGAATTGATTGCTGGATTAATACTCAATGCAAAAGGAATTTTTTATGTCCCTGGCAATTATAATTTTGCTAAATCTGAATTCTGATTTACTATATTTCATACTTTATATTTTGCTTGCATTCCAAATTTATATTTTAATTTGTTATATTAAAAATCAATAGAATATGTTGTTTATGTGACTCTTATCTGAGTAAAAATTCAATTCCTTAATCTATTTCTGAGAATGAGAAAATACAATTGGAGTGAGACAGGAAATAATTTAAGAAATGAATTAAACTATATTAACATTGTGTTAGAATAAAAAAAAAATGTAATACATTGATTTATAAATTAAATTCATTAAAAAATTATTTTAAATAAATATCGCGCCGCCGAACGCCTATGAAAAAATTTAAAAAATTTCTGCCGCCGTCAATTGAGATATAGGCGCACAGGCCTATACATATACACATACAGTAATGGGTTGGATTGGATAGTAGAAATTGGAGCGGCCAATAATTATTGGGACATTATCGAAACTAAGATTAAATATGATAAAGTGAGGAAGTTGCCAAGAACATCCAGTATGGATCGAGAAAACAGGAAAAACGATATTAATGAAAATCAGATTCCGGGAATTGTTAAAGGGAGAGAGTCCGCGTAGAAAATAGAAATTATTAATGTTGAAACAAATCAGGGGTCACTAGAAGTTATAAGCAGAGTTGTACAAAAGATCTTCTTTGAATATTTTTGAGCAAGATCTCGCTCGAAAATTTGAAGATCTTTTATTTTTAAAAAATTTTGAGCAACGATCTTCAAAGATCTTCATATTTTATAATGTTTATAGTAAATTATTATTTTTTTGATATTATTTTTTGAATGGATTAGTAAGCATGTTAAATAAAAATTCAATAAAGATGCACCTACAATTTTCATAATTGTTATTTTTTTAAAAATTTTTTTGACATATATGGGTAAAAATTTATATTAAAAAAAAATTTATATTAAAATTTTAATAAAGATGTAATGTAAGTAACACAGAAAAGTGACAATTGTAATAATCGTTATTTTTTTAACTTATTTGATTTATTGTGTCGTAAATAGGTTATAATTTTTATTATTAAGATGTAAAAATAAAATTTCAATGAAGATGTACCACCATAGAAAAGTGACAATTGTCATAATCGTTATTTTTAAACTTTTTTGAATTATTTTAAGGCAAATGGATAAAAATTGATATTGTTAACATGTTAAATTAAAATTTCAGTGAAGATGCACTACAGAAAAGTGACAATTGTCATAATCGTTATTGAACTTTTTTGAATTTTTTTAAGGCAAATGGGCAAAAACATATATTGTTAACATATTAAATTAAAATTTCAGTGATGATGTACCACAGGAAAGTGGGAATTGTCATAATCGATATTTTTAAATAAGGCAAATGGGTAAAAATAGATATTTCTAACATATTAAATTGAAATTTAATTAAAATTTACCACAGGAAAGTGACAATTGTCAAAATCGTTATTTTTGAATATTTTTAAGATAAATGGGTAAAAATAGACATTGTTAACATGTTAAATTAAAATTTCAGTGAAGATGCACTACATGAAAGTGACAATTGTCATAATTGTTATTGAACTTTTTTGAATTTTTTTAAGGCAAATGGGCAAAAATATATATTGTTAACATATTAAATTAAAATTTCAGTGATGATGTAACACAGGAAAGTGAGAATTGTCATAATCGTTATTTCTAAACTTTTTTGAATTTTTCTTAAGGCAAATGGGTAAAAATAGATATTTCTAACATATTAAATTGAAATTTCAGTGAAGATGTACCACATGAAAGTGACAATTGTCAAAATCGTTATTTTTGAACTTTTTTTAAGACAAATGAGTAAAAATAGATATTGTTAACATTAAATTAAAATTTCAGTGAAGATGTACTACAGGAAAGTGACAATGGTCATAATCGTTATTTTTGAACTTTTTTAAAATTTAAACAAGGATAAAATAAAAATATTTTGAAAATTATTTATTATTTCAAAATTATTGAAAATATATATTGTTAACCAGGTTTGTTGCAATGTAACGGTATCGCGTTATTACAGAGAAACTTTTACAGAGAAAATAATTATAGAGAATGTAGATTATAGAGAATTATTTATAGAGAATGTATTTTACAGAAATTTTTTTTATAGAGAATGTCGTATATAGAGAATGATTTTACAGAGAATTATTTTATATAGAATAATTTTACAGAAAATGATTTAATAGAGAATGATTTTATATAGAATAATTTTATAGAGAATGATTTTACAGAGAATGATTTTATAGAGAATTATTTTATAAAGAATGTATTTTATAGAGAATTATTTTATAAAGAATATATTTTATAGAGAATTATTTTATAAAGAATGTATTTTATAGAGAATTATTTTATAAAAAATTTTACTTAAAGATATGATTATTTTATAAAAAAAATGTTATATATAGTCATAGGAAAAAAAAGTTATAGTATTTTACATAATTTTAAATATAAGAATTACCTTATATAAGAGAGGTTTATCGATTATTAGATGAATTAATGGTAGAATAAAATTTTGACATGATTTGTAAGGAATTTTACGAAATTTATTTTTAAAGATAAGTACAAAATAAAATAGATAGTGTTGTTAAAAGTTACTTTGGCAATGTGATGCAACTAGTTAAGTTAGTAGTTAAATTTTGGAATATAACAAGTTACAGTTAATAGTTTTCTTTATTTAGATATAACTAGCCACTAGTTACAACTATTTTTAGTGGATAGTAGATTCTGGGCTAGTCGGATCGATTACGTTAAATCGAATATATTTATATTAATGTAAATTCATTGGCTAAGATTTAAATCATATAATAAAAGAATGTTTAAAAAATTTAAATTTATTATTTGATTTAAACATCCGGTTTTCGCCATTATTTAGTGCTTAATTAATGTATTTAAATTCCGTTATTAATTTGGTTAACCGTCATATGAAAAAATCGTAATACGCTAAATAAATATTTAGAGGTCAAATTTTGGCCAGAAAATTATGAAAGCACTAACGATGAAATTTATATCCTTCTTTAGGGCTTCCTTAGTAGAGGTTAGTGCTTTAATTACTTTTGTAGCCGAATTTAAGAATAAAAAGTTATTTGCGAAAAAAACAAATAATGAGACGTGCCAAAACAAAAACTATAGTAGTACTAAACATCCGGGTTTCACCATTATTTAGTGCTTAATTAGCAAATTTGAATTCCGTAATTAATTTGGTTAACCGTCTTTATAAAAAATTGTAATACGCTAAAGAAATGTTTAGAAGTCAAATTATGGCCAGAAAATTATGAAAGCACTAACGATGAAAATTATATCATTCTTTAGGGCTTCCTTAGTAGAGGTTAGTGCTTTAATTACTTTTGTAGCCGAATTTAAGAATAAAAAGTTATTTGCGAAGAAAACAAAAATAAACAAATAATGGCGACGTGCCAAAACAAAAACTATAGTAATACCAAACATCTGGTTTTCGCCATTATTTAGTGTTCAATAGTAAATTTGAATTCCTTAATTAATTTGGTTAACCGTCTTCATAAAAAATTGTAATTCTCTAAGGATTATGAAAATATATAAAATTATAAAATATGTAATAAAACCTAAATAAAAAAATTATAATTTATAATTATATAATTAAAAATAAAATTCTTCCCCAAAAAGGAACCATAATTGTGTCTAAAAATTTCTATTTGAATTTTTTGTCGAACAAAAAGAAATTCTCTGGGTTCATTTGGGAAAAGTCGTATTTTATTAACCAGATTTTTTAAAAACATAAATGTTGAAAGGGAAAAATGCCCGTTAGTAGAAGTCACTACTGGAGTGAATATGAGGTTTTTACAATTTTTGTATTTGTTTGTCTTTTTAATTTCTGCCTGTGTTATAAAATTGAAATTTATGTTTAAAGGGAATGATGAGACACACGTGTAGTCCCAATGAGTGATTTGCCGAGGGCCCAAGGTATGGTTGTCATTCCCATCAGGTCTTAAACCATCTACTTGAGATAAATTTGATGGTTCAAGATTGTTTGGAATGTGTGCAGCTGTTAGAATTCTATTTATTATATGGTTTACAGCTGAGTGTTGATTTATTAATCACATGTGGGAAATTCTGTGGTTAATTTTTTATATTACTCAAAAAAATTTTGATTACCTGTAAATTTTTATAGTATGTAACGCATTTCCATAATGTGAAACATTCTTATATAGTTAAAATAATTTTTTAAAAAAAAATTTTAATAATAAAACTTTAATAAAGACGAAAATTTATGAACCGAATATAATTTTTTAATGTTTTGGTCTAAAATTTTCTTAGGCGTTGAGAAAGGTGTCAGAAAATTTGGAGGATTAATATGGCAGTTATTTATCGAATCAGGAACTCTCAGAATTCCTGCATAAGTATTAGTGATCGCTGTCCGAAATTTTTTTAAAAAAGTTTTGCCGGTCTTGCCCGAACCAGAAATATTTTTTAAAAAATTTACCGATCCGGCCCGGTCATCCCCGAATTTATTTAAATATAGAAAATTATTTTTAAAATTACTCAAAATAAAAGACATATGTTATGTGTTGTCTAGTTTCTATAAATAAAATCAAATATTTTTATTTTACAAAAAAAATTTAATATATAATTGATAAATTTAGATATATTTTAAAAAATTTACCGATCCGGCCCGGTCATCCCCGAATTTATTTAAATATAGAAAATTATTTTTAAAATTACTCAAAATAAAAGACATATGTTATGTGTTGTCTAGTTTCTATAAATAAAATCAAATATTTTTATTTTACAAAAAAAATTTAATATATAATTGATAAATTTAGATATATTTTAAAAAATTTACCGATCCGGCCCGGTCATCCCCGAATTTATTTAAATATAGAAAATTATTTTT